CCATTTGTTCACCAACACGCACATTCTTCCCTGGGAGTTTATTCTGACTAAATAAAAGGCCTTCTGAAAGAGTGTACAGTTGGGATCAGCAGTTTTGCATCCCCACAAGAAACTTAACAGGGAAAAATATATGCATACATCTAGAGTATAAACCTGCCTTGTGCTTTGAGAGGTATATCAAATCTCATCCATATGCTAGAGAAAAATGGGAAAGAATAAGATTCATTTTTTAAAAATCTGTAGCACTTACCTGTGCAGCTCAGGCTCTGTTCTCAGTTCTGTACTTGTATTAATTCATTTAATCCCCCTAACCACCCTCTCAGCTGATAATTAACTACATATCATCAGTAGTTCAGGATACATGAGCTCTGAGTTTATAAGATCAGAATCAGCCAACTTTTGCCAATTAAAATTACATTTTTGCTTGCCCAGTTTTATTTTGTTTAAGGTCCTAAATCCTCAAATGGTAAGAAATCCATTCTTTTACATTCCAGACCTTTTGTAAAGAATACTAAAACTGAAAAAGACTGAGATTAGAGTCTTTGTGTGTTTAGGCTGCTAGCCTCGCTGTTCTAAGTGGTAATTTTTATTGTCAGTGGGGAATTTTCTGGAAAGTTCTGGTAAAAAAAAAACCTACAGTTTTTTGTGTTTTGCGGCATCACCAGGGAAGCTTTACCGCTGCCTGTGTGCTGCACAGAGTAGCTCCGTGTCCTTTAAGCCCTTCTGCTTAGCTCTGGTACATAGATTGCCACCCAGGTAACAAGGGTGTAAGTATGACTTCTAAAGACTTGTTAGAAATCCGAGGCAGTGTTTGGTTTATATTATGGGAAAGCAATTTAAATGAAAGTTATTCTTCCAAGGTAAGCCTCATCGGCGTGTGCTGTGACCACCGGGCGAAAGCAGCTAGCAAGTGAGAGAGCTAACGTATTGCAAGAAAACCACCGTGTTCTTTCATGAACTGCTCTCCTATTCTAAAGGATGTATTTTTGACATATTCAGATTAAATTATGTTAAAGGTGATTAAAAGTTAAATAACAATATCAAGATTCTCATGTCCAAGTAAATGATGTCTCCAGTACCAGATACAGGTGTTTAAAGGTGTGGATGAGATGGTACCAGATCCTCACTGGAGTTTTGGCTGGGAAATAGATGAAAATCTAGGGACTTTTCAGTTTTGAATTATGGGCTACTTCGTGACTAATGGATTCATGTAAAGACATTGAAAAATGAAAATGTCCGTGACCTTGGTTCATTTTTCTTAATTTTATTCTGTCTCTTAAGAGAACTATTTTTGAGATTTAAGTATGGAAAAATAGCTTCTTGTCCAGCTCTGATACAACAGAGTTTAAATACTTTAAGTATGTGAGTTGCTTTAAAATATGGTTAATATTTATAAAAGGAGGTTGACAGTGTGGCTTTGTGGGTTTTTTAAAATCTTTTTTGGGTATTTTTCTCCCTGACCCCAGTCAGCATCATGTCTGATGTACAGAGGGGGAAGGCAGCCTTTCTTCCCCGAGTCTGTGCTATAGAGGAAACCAGGAAGGTTGGTGTCTTTGATTCATGTCTTTAAAACGGCCTTCCTCTGATTATTCCACAGGTCCACTGGAAAGGAGTTTGCCCTAAAGATTATAGACAAAGCCAAATGTTGTGGAAAGGTATAGTATACATAACTGTTTTGTAAAAGAAACTGAAAAAAACTTGGAGATGTTTGCTGTGGTGAAGGAATTTAAGTGGTGATTTGATGAGATTGTAACAGGAACAGACTGCTGATTATAGTGTGGGAAACATTATCAAGCTTTTTTTCCCCCCTGCTATGTTTCAGAAACTTTAATCCGAAAACAGTAAATTGATTTTATCTTTGTCCTAATGAAGGAAAAATACAAGTTCTCTTCTCCGGGAGATGCCTATTTTAAAAGTCAGCAACACACAAAAGCTATGTCGAGGACTTTGAGAGGTCTGAGACTGGACCCTACTTTCAAACTGACAAATTAGCCTACCCGGTTTGTGGATGTGGCAGAAGACACAGTTTCCTGGGTCAGAGACAAAAAAAAAAACCCTTATTACTCATAGTGTAGCTGGAAGCAGGAGCTAGCTCCATGCTTGCTCTGGTTCTCCTTAATTCCAAAGGTCCACAGAAGTGATGCGAAGAGGCCCCGCTGGATGCTGTCACACAGTAGGCTTTTGTCACAGCAGGCGATCCCCAAGCTTAGGAACCCCCAATCTTATGAGGAGGACACTAGCAAACCTACCCCAGAGAAGAACATTATTCTTACTCTCATGTTCAGGAAACAAATCTGCCCTCCGCCCCGACGGAGACCCTGTCTCTGCGTTCCAAGGGTGTTTGCTGTATAGACATCCTCCAAGAAAGCTTGAAACAACAGCTGATGCAGGGTGTGCAGGAACACCAGGGACTGTCTCCCCAAATGGATGAACTTTACTCTGTGTCCCAGTGTCAAGATGGGGCTGGGAAGAGATCAAATGATGGAGTGCTGCTAGATTTTTACTGATATTTTAAGTATGTTCAAAAAGATAAGTATTTCATAACAGGGACAACAAAGACCTTTTTGGATTCCTTTCTGGTAGGTAGCATTGCAGTTCAGAGAGCAGGCTTTAGACCTCACAGTCTGCCACTGGGCTCCTAGCATGCGAGGTGCCAGGCACTTGAAAGGTGGCCAGTCTGAGTTGAAACACACAGCAGATGTTGAAGATTTAATGCTAAAAGAACAAACAATACCTCATTAATATTTTTCATATTTGATTACATGTTAAAGTGATACTATTTTGGACATATTGGGCTAAGTAAGCTTTATGACTTTACCTGCTTTTTATATTTTTTTTAGCATGGCTGTTAGAAAATTCAGATTTACGTTTATGGATCACATTATATTTCTGTTGAGCAGTACTGCTCTAGAGCCAGATTGTATAAAGTAAACCTGGGCTCTGCTTCTTTTTGCTGTGTGACCTTGGAAAAATTACATAACCCCTCTGTGCTTCTGTTTCTTCCTGTAAAATGCAGTTATTAATGATACCTAAGACATAAGGGTGTTATGAGTGTTAATTGAATTAAGCTATAGAAAACATGTAGAAAAGTACTGGTATATAATAAGAATTTAGCACCTGTTAACTGTTAATATTATTAATATGCCAAAGGAATTCAGAATGATACAATACTAGGATTTGATGTGATAGTAGTGATTTTATATTTATGGAACTCCTAAAGCTTTTCTTCCACACATCTACTAAACTGTGTATTTTTAACAGAAAACTTAAAATATTATGGTAAAGTTTCAGAAAAAACTTCTCAGAGACCCAGAATGGAATAGTCCAAGAGGCAAATTTGTCAGATGACTTTTTTTTTTTTTTTACTATGCTGTGACAGGTAGGGAAGCAGTCTGTACAAAAAGCTCCCCCTCTTTTCTTTGAATAAGGTTTTTCTAAATTTAATTTCCTTTAAATAAGTCTATGTGTTTTAACTTACTGTGCTAACAATATTATTAAATTTTTAACTGCAAAGCCTTTCCCCATATGTAAGTAGGTATTACTTTTTGTATCTGATGTTTAAGCAGAATGTATCATAATTTTGGGAAGCCAAGGTCTAAACAACTGCATTAAAGTATTTTTTCAAAAAAGTTTTAAAATAATTGCTATGGTAGGGACATTGCTTACCTGATTGAAATTTAAGCAACTGTTTCAGTAGTTGGAAAAAAAATATGATCTTTATGCAGAAAAATTCAGTCTGGTACACTAAGTACTGAGGCAAATGAATAGGTCACTTCAAACATTTGGAACTTGTTTTTCCTTGTTATTGAATGTCATTGTATTTTTTACAATTCATGATGATATTCTTGTTTCCATTCTTATATTTTACTTATTTGAACAGCTATTTCCACACTGACTATATAACGTAATTTTAAAACTTTTTGTAATTGAAGTATGGTTGATTTACAATATTGTCTTAGTTTCAGGTGTACAGCAAAGTGATTCAGTTATTTTTTTCAGATTATATTTTATTTTTAGGTTATGACAAGATGTTGAATATAATTCCCCATGCTATAAAGTAAATCCTTATTGCTTATCTATTTTATGTATAGTAGTTTGGGTATGTTAATCCCGTACTTGATTTGTTTCAAAGGAGTAGATTTTCCCACTAAATTTTATATTTAGGAAAAAATGGTATAGAGAATATTTTTTTTTTTTAAGCAAAAATCTGGAGAAAGGCATTCAGCCACTCTTGTGGGGTATTGTTTGTCACCTTTGCTTTGCGGGTTGTACACAGAAAAGTAATAATGTTAAAAATAGTATCTGCCATTTATTAAAATGTGTTATCTGTCCAGGCCTGGACATGTAGCAACTTTGCATATTACCTTTAATAACTTGAAAAACAGATGTACCAATTTTGCAGAGAAAGAAACAGATTCAGATTGAATAGCTTCTCAAAAGTCACACAGAGGCAGAGTCGTGATTGGAATTTGGGGCTAGTTGGTTGCACAGCCAGTCTACATGCTTCCTTTCCAAATTCAGTTTATGCATTCGTTCATGTAATAAGAACCTGGGGGGAAAATTCTTGACCCTTGGCCTTCCGTTTGCTTTTCTGTAATATACATGAACATTATTAGATTAATTCACTCACTTACCTAACATCTGATGTGTGTGCAAGATACTGTGCTAGGAAGAAGGTAATTTAACATGTAAATTAATACCAGTTCTGCAGAGAGTGTTGTGGGAGTTCAGGGGAAGCAGAGGAGAGAGAAGTGGGTGATCGGTGGAGATGCCTCAGAGCAGATGCACTTGAGCTGGACCTGAGCAGCGGGTAGGATTCGAACAGTGATGACAGAAAAGCCTCCCAGGCAGCCAGCGCAGCCTGAGCAGAGGCCCAGAAGCATGTTGGGTTCTTCTGAGTAGATTTTTGGCAAAATTCACCTTGGGGCCGTATTTATGGAGGCTTTTGAGAAGGCTGTGGTGTTTGTAAATTTAAGAATTCTTCCATGTCTAATTTACTAAACCATATTCATTCTAAATAAATATTCATTGAATTCCCATAAGCCCTGAGCTTTCCATTGTGGTGCTTAGAAGTGGCCCTTCTCTTCCCCCAGGTCTGCATCCGTTATCCACATGTTACAGGAAGATGTAAATCTAAATGCATATTGTATGAGTTTCCTGAGGCTGTTGGACTAAGTTACCACACACTTGGTGGCTTGCAGCGGAAACTTACTTTCTCGCAGTTCTGGGGACTGAGAGTCTGAAATCCACAGACCTCCTCTGAAGGCTTTAGGGAAGAATCTGTTCCTTGACTCTAATTAGCTTCTGGTGGTTGACAGTATTCCCTGTGCTTGTGGCCACATCACCCCAAACTCTGTTTCCATCTTCACATGGCCTTCTCTTCCGTGTGTTTATTTTTCCTCTTCTGTGTGTGAAGTCTCCCTCTGCCTCTGTCTCATAAAGACAGCTGTGGTGGCACCCAGATAATCCACAGCTACCTCTTTGTTGCAGAATCGTTAATCACATCTCCAAAGACATTTTTTTCTTTCCAAATATAGTTACCAGTTCCAGGCATTAAGAATTGATAATGTCACATGGCTATTATTCAACCCACCACATTTGCCTGCCACTGAAGTGACATACAGTGACTTGAATCTCCGATTTCCCTTACTGTATTATCCTCAGTGGTACTCACGCCACAATATAGATACCAGCTGTAAAGCCACTGTGACCAAGAGCAGTGCGTGATGTGTTTATGCATTCACCTACTCAAGCACCTCAGAACGAGCTGTGCTAGTGTGAGAGACCAGGGTAAACCAAAACCTCCACGACAGCAGGGTGAGAGCGGTGGTTGGAGCAAGCTTGGGGGCAGTGAGAACAAATTAGAGGGTTGAGCAGCTGTGGTGGAGCAGGGGTGGGTTACCTGGAGGAGGTGAGATCCCATGTGATCCTGAGGAATAAATAGGAGTTCACCAAGAAGTAGGGGAAGAAAGTTCCAGAAAGAACTGCCTGTGCCAGTGCCTGGAGTGCTGGGTGAGAGACGTGTGAAAGGGACAGAGAAAAGGGAATGGATGTAGGCTATTGAGCAGGCAGTCCTGGCAGGGGCTGGCAACCGGCTGGCTATGCAGGAGGATGCAGGATCGAGGGCCAGGGTGCAAATCCGTCTGCTCTGGGCAGCCAGCTTCACTCAATGAGACAGAGGACACAGTGGGGAAGGACTGTTCTGTGGGGCTGGGAAGGGTGGAGACAGGATGCTTCGTTTGGTTTAGGAGAGTTGTTTATTCCCCAAATCCATTTCTCTCTGGTCCTGTCTGTCTGTCTGTACATTAAAAACCACCGTGGCCAAGGATCGGGCGGTTTCCGATGCCAAGTGAGCCGTTTCTTTGTCATTTACTCTCACACGAAACCCTGGAACACCGCCATGAAATGATTCATGTGTAAATTATTTGGAGTTAGAATCATGAATCACTTAACATAAATAATGGTAGATGACTGAATAATGTAAGTCCACTGCAGTTTGAGACAAAAGTGATGTTCATATCGTATTTAGAAATAACTCCTGGAAAATGTAATCTAGAGAGCATTTTTTACATATTAGAAGCAGATTGCATATGGGTTGCATAAGAGAACATTTGTAAGGATTTTTTTGTGCACTGTTTTGCTTCTGAGGTTGGTTTAGTTCAAAAAGTGGATTTGTTCCTTCAAAGACGCTTTTACAGGCGTCCTCAGAGGTTGGGAAACAAAGGCTAATAGCTCCCACGTCCCAACAAAAACCTTCACTGTGTGCGGAGAATGCTTGCCGTTGTTGACTAGCATGCAGTAAGCCGAGATGATAAATACTGGAGGAGAAAGTGTTGCTGCAATATTTGCTTAATACTGGAAATGCACCACTGCCGGGGGCCCTGGGATGAGTTCCCCAGGCTTCCCAGAAGACTCCTCTGTTGTGCCTCTTCATGAAAAAGAGAAGTGTCGTCTCTACATCAGGTGGACTCCTTATCTTGGCTCCAGTGTGAGACAGTTCTTGGGGCACTGGCGATGGGGGGTATTTTGTGTATGTTGCTTGAAATTGGCATCACGAAGTCCCTGAATAGAGGTAAATTTTTAGACTCTTCCGACTTTGAGGGAAATGGGGATGGGGCAGGAGAACTGAATTGAGAGATCCATTTAGCTTAAAAAATGAAACACCGTATTGTCTTGGCTTCATGTAGAGTGAAATACATTCATTTGGTTGCCTTCACATGTTCACAAGGGTACGTCTGACTCTTGCTTGTTACCGTGATTAAGGACAGATTGGCACTGATGGTCCAAAGGCTTTTTTTTTTTGTGGGGGAGGTAATTTGATTGATTGGTTGATTGATTTTAGAGGAGGTACTGGGGATTGAACCCAGGACCTCGTGCATGCTAAGCATGCGCTCTACCACTGAGCTATACCCTCCCCCACTCCAAAGGCTTCTAACCAAGTGTACAGACGTGGAGGGTTTGCCGAGTCTTTCCTCTGTCTCTGTGGCCACAAGGGATTGGCGGTAGAGTTGCCTCCCTTGGGAGGGCCCAGGGCGCTGTCCACGGCTTAGTGCTGCTGCTCTGTGACTCAGACCTGTGGAGTTGGAAGCAGGTAGGCGCCCTGTGGCCTCCCCACCATAGTTTGTTAGGGTCTTAGAGCTGCCGTTCTTCCAGGAGATTTGGAAGCATCTGCTGAGTCCAGAGCCCATCTAAGACTTCCCAGCCCTGCTTGTTAATGGGTGTAGATTTTCTTCCCTGTACAAGGCCTGGTGTGGTTCTGCCTTGACCCCCGACTCGGTGTGACACTTCTTCTAGGTCCTATCTTTTCAAGGAATTAGTTTCAGCTTTGCAGCTGTCATTTTCGTTTTGAAAAATTCCACCTTGGCTTTGACTTTGAAGCATTCCCCTTTGAAAGGTGGTGTTGTGCAGTACAAAAAAATGTGCTTTTGGACGCCAGGAACCGAGGTTTGCCCCCCCCCACGAAGGACTGCTCTAAGGATAAAGCGTTAAGACATTGCACAAGTACCTTGCACAGCGACTAGCAAATTGTGACTAGATTCCCAAGAAATGCTGGTTCTTTTCTTTCCCCTACTTCTGTTTAGCATTTGCACTGTCATTTGCCAACATTTATCGAGTGGACTACTTGGACGAACACAGAGCATTCAGCACTCCAGAAACACCACCCACCACGTGCAGGAGTTTGCAGGAGCTTTTCTCTGGATGTTCTTTGTTCATTGGTTGTAATTTATACTTTCATCTATTGTGCAAAAGTATTGGAGATGGCTTAGAGTGAAAATACATGTATACATGGATGCATGAAGCTAAGAGAGGAACCACAGTGGTATCCTGAACTACATACAGATAAGATAATTGTCTTACTGCTGCAGTGGAACACTGACTTTAGTTCTGAGATGCATGCTAGCCAAAGGGGTGGTGTGAGGGACACACACACATGCACGCACGTGTGTGGTATGGGTGTATACATATATGTGTATTTAGCTAGTAAATGATAACGCTTATGAGGTAAATTTATATAAAAGCTATGTTTGAAAACCTAGAGCATGTGGTAGGGCAGTTAGCAAATTTTACAGAGCATTTCTTAAATTCCAAACAGTTCGTTATAACAGTTAATGAGGATCAACAAATGTGACATTACTGAGAGATCTTAATGTCGCAGAGTAAAATAGAGCATTAGTTGTTCATGATTCATGAGTTGGCGTATTGAGAATAGTTCCTTAATGCTGTGAGTAAACATTTGGCTATAATGCTGTCCCAACCACATCACTCACCAGGACTGATAACCAGGTGGTGTTTTCAGAGAATTGATTAGAGTTCAAAGGAGAATAGTGGGCCCCACGGTACTGTATGTGTCCTGAGTTCTGAAATGCAAGATGATAAAGAATGTCCATCTGGTGAACGGTTTTGTACCCAGTCATAGAGGAGGAGAGTTTCTTTTTCATGAATTTCAACATGAAATTCAGTTTACACTGGTAATAGTTTAAAAACTAAAAATGTTTGTAATGCTAGAGGTTGTGTCCCATAAGCATGCCAAATTTCCCCATGTGCCTGCCTGGTCTTTATTTCTGAGTGTTTACTGAAATGAAAAAGTGGTTCCAGCTGAACTGCAGCACAGTGTGGCGTACCCAAGCCTTCTCAGCGTCACGGTGTCACAGCCTCTTAAGGTGCTGGGAGCATTGAAGACGCACGGCGGGAGCGTGCACAGAGCACACCGAGAGGGCACCCCGAGCCCTTCCGAGGGGCGCTTTGCAGGATGTCTTCCTTTTTGTTAGTGATGATGAAATATCACCCTGGCTTGTCCGTTGCTGTGGAAACCCGCTGGGCCAGAGTTTGGTTTGTCTCTGTTCCTTCAGCATCACATCTGCAATGTTGTCCTCCAGGACACAGGGATAGAGCAGAGGGTTCTGTCATTTCTGAGCCGTCTCTCTAACCCCCCTTTTTTGACAGGAACATCTGATTGAGAACGAAGTGTCGATACTGCGCAGAGTGAAGCATCCAAATATCATCATGCTGGTTGAGGAGATGGAAACGGCCACTGAGCTCTTTCTGGTGATGGAATTGGTCAAAGTAAGAGGACGGAGAGGTTTCAAGAGAGTTCATCAATGCCAGGTCCCACGACTTGCAATATTCTTGCAGGACCTAGTTGGAAAGTGTTTTGCCACCTTGAAGCTTTCGCTACTTACAATCATCAATTTTAGTGGCACTCGTGTCATTTTGTTTTCATCTTTTCCAGGCCGATGAACCTTCTTTGTTACCTTCCTAGGATGGCCACTGTTGATGTTTTGCTGTGTCCTTTTATGTGTCCTGTAGGGTGGAGATCTCTTTGATGCCATCACCTCTTCAACCAAGTACACCGAGAGAGACGGCAGCGCCATGGTGTACAACCTGGCCAGCGCCCTCAGGTACCTCCATGCCCTCAGCATCGTGCACAGAGACATCAAGCCAGAGAACCTCTTGGTATGTCACCTCTGCCTTTTCTGTTCCAGCTCATGCCTCTCTTCTGGTAAAGTGACAGTAATCACATGCAAACAGTCATGCACCCATCCTGCAAATAAGAGACTGAGAGAATTTAAATCTAGCAGATCAGCCTGATTTAAGTCAAAGGCCATAAAATGTTAATGGGTTTCTTGAATTGATCTGCATTTACTGTTTACCAGACGTTAGAAAAATTGTTTACATTTATGTTCTGATTGATGGTACTGAGTAAAAGGTGAGCAGGAGAATTATTTTATGAGGCAAAATATTCTGAAGAATAAATTGGAGACAGAATTAGAGGTTTCTAGGAGACAGAAGTAGAACACGGGGGCTCATTTCTGTGCAGGAAATAATCTAGTCCAGTCATCTCGGTTTTACAGATATGGACATTGAGACCCAGAGATACTAGTTTTTCTTGCTTAAATGTCTCATTTGTCCCGTTGTTCTACCAAACAAAGTCTTATTCCATTATGGCACCCAGCTTTGTAGTCTGGTCCCAGTTTACCTTTCCAGCCTCTTCTCCTGTCCCTCTCTTCTCTACCCATCTGGTGAGCATGGCACTCACCTTCAAACCATATTTAACTCCCCTCGTGGTGGTCTTCAAAACCAAACACAGCTTGCTAATTGGGCCAGTCCTCATATCTGCCTTGTAGAGGAATTTAAGAGGTGATTTGGGTGGTCTGCAGACACATCCCCCCAACACACACAGGAAAGCTGGTTTCTCTGGTCCCACCTTTCAGGGCTGGGTACCATCATCATCATCATCATCATCATCATCATCATCATCACTGCATGGGAGGTGAGCTTATCTGTGTCTTCCATATCATGTTAATCCAAACACAGGTTTCCCCAGGCCTTGGAGTTGGTGAAGACTTGACTTTGTCAACAGCATTACACCTCATTGCTAATGTCCATGCCGGTCTCTGTTTGCAGCTGCAGCACGGCACATCTTGTAAGACGCTGAGCAAGGCCTGTCTTCCTGACATCACCCCAGACGCCCTGGGGAGAGTCAGTCGTGGCCTCCTCTGGTTTCTGCTGCACTTGCCATGGTGCAGGGTGGTTTTATCATCTCCTTGTCTGTTGTCTTCTGCAGGTTGTCAGCACCATTAGAGACAAGGTTTATGTCTCCACTACCTTTATATCCCAGGGCCTTGGACAGTGCCGAGTAAGCACACAGCCAGTGTGGAGTATACGGGCTGGTGCCCGACCACTGATGGGCATGGGGCTGGCCAGCCACTGGCACCCACACATGCGTCTCCACAGCCTGCCCTGTGCTTGCAACACGCAAACAGTAGTCGAGCAGAATATGCACTGATGGATCGGCTTGGGGGCCATCCTTGGACTTTCTGCTAATTCAGAGCATCCGTTTCCCCTTTTGGTCATACAATTCAATCATTTCCGAGTGTCAGCTTCCAAGTGTGTGAGATTTTTTTCTTACTGTTTTCTGCCTTGAGGGAATGCATTTCGCTTCTATGTGTTCCTATCAGGAGACAAACACCCCTGCGCGGTAAAACAGGATGTACTGTTGGACTCGGTTTTATGAACTGCAAGAGGCATGGAGACAGCTGTAAAGCAGGCCTC